GGGGTGTGGGTGGGGTGTGGCTGGGCCCCCCCAGAAGTCTCAGCAGACTCCTCGGGCTGCCTGGGGACAGGCCTGACCTCTGGGTGAGGGGCTGGGTGACCGGCCTCCAGGCAGAGCTGCCAGCGTCTCAGGCAGGGAGGCCTCAGGGTCCTCGCCTTCATCCCAGGAGGCTCTGAGGGCTCCAGGCTGCAAGGGCACCTAGAGCTGCCTCTCCCCGCCTCTCTCCCCCCGGACCCCCCTCACCCCAGCACTAGCACCCTCTCAGCCACAGACAGGGTGACAGAAAGAGGCCTGGACTGCAGGCCCTACGACCCGATCTTATCTCCACATGCACTCGAACCCACGCAGCCTCTCCCACCACAGCCACTCAAGGCTTGACCTCCGCCCAGCCTGGTCCTGGCCTCCTGGGGCCTCTGAGAGGGTGTGGGACGGAGCACAGGCTGGAGCCTCTTCTGCAACTACAGGAAGGACAGCCCCCGCTGCAGGGCACTACTTCCTTTTTCTTCATGGTCCACATCACCTTCTGACATAATATAAAACTGACTTACTTATTAGGTTTATTGTTCCGCTTCGCTGGCAGGGTTTTTGTCTGTTTTCTTCCCCGAGGCCCCCAGTGCCTACACTAGCCCTTACCCACAGATGCTCACTAGTGTTTATTGAAGAAATGCACGAGTTGTCCTGAGGCCTGCAACCAAGGTACATGCCCTTGACGGGAATCGAACCTGGGACCCTTCAGTCCGCAGGCCGACGCTCTATCCTCTGAGCCAAACCAGTTAGGGCAAGTGTCTCCACTTTAGCCGGCCTCCCGGCCGCCCGGCCATTCTGTCCCTCCGCTCCGTCTCAGCTCCTGCCGCGCTGGCGGGACCCACCACAACCCGAGGGGGAGCCCTCACCCGAGCCCTTGGCCTTCGCCGGGCTTCCTCTGCTCCCAGGGAGCGCAGACCCAAGCTGCTCCACGCCCGGCTCAGTTCCCGCCTCTGGCCATCTCCTGCTTGACTGTGCTCAGGACCCCCCCCTCCCCCCGGCCCCCCGCGGGACCCTGCACGCACCCTGCATGGCACCCAGCAGGGTCCTGGGCAGTTGTGGGGTAGGCGCCTCCTACTCCTCTGCCAACTGGGTGCAACCTCCTGCTCCAGGCCCTCCCTGGACACAGGCTGGGCAGGCAAGCCCTGCCAGCTGCCTGATCGGCCGGGGCAGCCCCCCAGAACCCCTGGGTCAGCGTTCATGGCTTTCCTCCTTCTCACAGGTGATTCCCCCTCCCCCACTTCCCTTCCCCCCCAGCTCCTGCTCCCCAGGTGGTCCGATCTCCCTGAGCCAGGAGGCCCTCTCCTGCCTGCCTGGCCAGCACCTCTGCACCAAGCCTGGCCCCGTGGCTAGCGGGCCTGACAGACTCTCACATACTCATGGCCCCTGCACAGCACAGCCATGCCGGGAGGGTGAGCCCCCACTCCTGCCCTGGCTCACACCCGGCCTGCAATGCTCTTCACCGATTCATATGGTGAGTCTAGCCTCCCCCCCGAAGCCAGGGGGCTTCCGAGGACCGGGCCTAGGTCCTCCCTGCTCCTCTGTCTCCCCAAATTAGGGGTTCTTACGGCAGGGCCCAGCATGGCCGATGTCAGGAGAGCGTGATTCCAACACTCACGACCTGCTACCCGACCTTGGGCAAGGCCCTCCCTGCAGGGAGCCCCGGCCTCCTTCTCCACGAGCTGCCTGGCCAGTCTTGGGACTGGGCCCCAAGCCCTGACAGGCCCCTTTGCCGGGCCTCAGCTGAGTTCCCCAAGGCC